AAAAAAAGGACCACTACCCCGTCCGTAATGCAACCCTTTGCAAACAGCATGAGAAAAAATGGTGGAACGATCCTCTGACACTGGGTCGGCCGGGGGGGCTGGGGGGGGGGCAACCGACTTCCCAGTCCGGGCATGAGATCGCGTCCACCCCTGTAGATACGAATCTACCCGGAAAACCGTGCCGGAGTGTTTCGCGCAAAAAACTTGCCCAAAAAAAAAATAGATCTGAAAACGTATCTGGTACCAGGCCTGACCAAAAAAATTTTCATGTAAATTCAGCGGCCGTCGAATTAACGTGGGGGTACAGGTGTAACTGAAAGAATTTAATCAGCCTTGTATATATATATTCACTATATATTCCTGAGCCTTTAAAGGGGGTCAGTTTGAAAATCCACCCTTGATATTCGTTTACCTTCAAATGTATTTTACTTCACGTATATATATGCGGCTGGACTTTTGATGACATCTTAAATCCTTGTCCAGGGCGTTTATCGCTGGGCAAAAACCCATTTCATCAGTTTCAACGTTAATTAATTTGAAATAATGCCATCCTTTCCGTCGGTGTCCAGATTAATTACTCCCCATGGGGATGGGTCGTCCCGGTGTGGAGCGTCTGACAAATGTTTTTTTTTTTCGCTGAATCGCCGCCGGCGCGACGCTACCGTAATCCCAGCGTCCTTCTGCCAGTCGCGTTCCGGTCAAAAGGTTACTTGTGATTTGAGCTGTAATTAAAATTAGTGTATTTAGTGGAAAAAGGAGAAGAAGAAAAAAGTAATAGTAATTGTAATGTAGTTAAAAAAAATTTTTTGGGGTCCATTCGAATTTCGGGTAAAAATTGGATGAATCTTTAGTCCCATTGGGACTGAATGGCTTTAACGTGTCATTACGCAGTGGCTACGTAATTTGACTAAGGCACCCCCCTATTGAGTATTCATATACTGGTATATATGTATATATGGGATTTCCGACGAGGATCTTTTATTGGGAAAAATCTATGAAAACCTACCGGTTTGCATATGTCAGTCACATATGGTCGAATGGTCAAAAAAGGGAGGGTGGAATTTTGGGAAGGATATTGACCATTTGAGTAAATGGTAGAGACACATTGACACAAAAAATCTATAATTTTCTAAAGAAATACAGGCGTTACGTTTTTTTTTCCTGTTTTTTTTTTTTGTTATTTACCTCAAAGACACTTTTTTTGGTTTTAGTATCGAAATATGGATGCATTAGCAGGGACTATGCACGTGATTTGTATGATTTATGGGATGATCAATTTTGTTTGAAATTAAAAAATTTTTTCTCTCATTTGCGAAATTACGTCATACGTATGTACATGCGTGAGACGATACGTGGAGACGCATAAATTCGGCGCGTAAGCGGCTCGAATTTCACAAGTAATTTTATAACCGTAAATCGAGCTTTCAACGATCTTGGCTGAGTGACGAAAAAAAAAAAGGGAGAAAAAATTAGAATCGTGGATACCGAAGGGACGACAGTAGGTGCAGCGAAAGGGTTGCGCGGGGGGTTAGGTGAAAGGAGAAAGGAAAAAGTGGGTGAAAAAAAAGGAATGCAAAAAAAAAGGATAAGGCGAGGGCAAAAAGTGTGTATAAATTGTATGCAAAGAGGTGCCTGCGCCCTTAATTTAGTTAATTTAGATTTTATCCGTTAGCCAAGAAATACGTGAAAAAGTGCAACGAGGATAGGGGATGAAAAAAAAAACAAAAAAAAACAAAAAAAAATAACACGGGTAGACGTACATAGAGGCGAAACCGGGTAGTAGGGAAGTCCGGGTTAAAGGGTGTAGCGCGGAGACGTCGAGTGAATGAGAAGGGGTTGAAACTACCCTTGGAATTATTATATACTTATTTAAGCACTGGTTTTCCGAGGGGTCCACGAACGGGACGATTTCCGTTTTTTTTAACTCTTTCTTCTGTTTCTCCTTTTTTTTTTTTTTTTTTCGGTTCCACCGTTCTCGCTCTTCCGTGGCTTGGGACTTGTTTCTTCTTTTTTTTTTCTTTCGCACAGCTTTATTATAATCGGTGTGAAATCATAACCGATCGTTATACCCCCTATAACCCCCCTTTCTTCTGGCTACACCACATTGGGCAGATTCACAGACGATACGGCACGATCTTTTCCCGTGGAAAAACAATAGGGGTGCGTACTAGACGGTATACGGATAGAGTGAAAAAAAATTTTTTTTTAATGAAAATGAGCCATAGTGACAAGAAAGCAGGGCCGTACGCATGCGCCGGTGGTGGGGTGGTTTGGGTTGTTGAAAAAAAATTTTTACGGTTTTAAAATCACGCGAGAAATTATTATGCGTTTGCGAACGCGTACTTCTGGCGCAGGGTGAACCAGTTTTTGGAGGATGAAAAAAAAATGTTTTTTTTTGCGGGGGAAAAAATTAATCTACCTTGAAATCCACTCGAAAATGATTTTTGGGAAGTTTTGGGGTTTACTATCAAGATTATGGAAGTGTCCTTGCATATGGATGCCGAATTAGCACTGCAGTGGGATAAGTGCGAATGTGACTCCGTGAATAAGGGGTGGGTCTGGGGGTGACTTTTGGTGGACATGTGCAATTTGACCTGTTGACCTCAGGGTCCGAGACCCACGCAGGGACGAAATATATTTGGGGTAAAAATAATACAATTTACACATAATAGGGGAGACGAGACTCACTGGGATGCACGCGTATTCAAATATACAGAATGCAACCCCGTGCACTTTGGGGGGTTGCACAGGGTGACCAAACAACAATGCAATACCAATCCCTATAGGTACCTACTGTCCAATTCCGATCGATATTTGCCACGACCTATGAATACGAAACGACGAGTAACTCTGGTCACTTTACGTCTTCTCCCTGGTAACGCGTCAATTTTTTGTCAAGAGAAAAAAAAACAATTTCCGTAAATGAAGAAAAAAAAAACGTGTATCTCCAGGCTTAACGAAACTTTCAAGTTTCTCACGATTCCAATTTTGAGATTCTTTCAGCTGCCAATTTTTTATGCATCAAACTCGCGAGGGATACTGTCATTTGAATATGAAGAAATTATATATATTTTTTTTTGGAAAATTCCCTCAATTTTTTTTGGCTCCCTGAAAATTAAATTTCCAAATTTTTTTTACAATTCTCACGAATATCTTTCACTCCTGTATACATCGCATGCGAAATTTATTAAAACTACCCTTCGGCATAATCCTTCTCCGCGATTACAACTCTTGTCGATTAATTTAATTTTCTTTTATTTTATTACAAAAATTTGCATCAACCCCAAAATTGATTATCTAAAGTGTATCGATTCCATATAAACACAAAATTCCCCAAACACCCGGTATAACTATTCCCAAGAAAAGCAACTTCAAAAATTGTACCTACTCGCCCGTGGGTCCGAGACTCTCGGAATAAGATCGTCGTCACATTAAAATAGCCTTGACATCCGTTGCAGGGGTTGGATGGCCGCGCCCAGGACCCCTCGTTACCCGCCGACTATTTTTGTTTCAACACCCCCGAGTGTTGTGTCTAGTGTCTAGTCTCGTCCTGTAAAAGTAAAGTAGCCCTCAGCAGTGCAACTCTCGTAAGTCCCGCAAGAGTGCCCTGGATAAGTCCCAGTCAAATCTCCCAGACAAGACCCCCCTCGCCGACACAAAAAAAGTTGGAAACCCGATAAGAAAAAAAATTGTTAATCCCATAAAACCAAAAAAAAAAATTCATATTAAATACCTAATAATTTGACACCCCTTAGCTATAATTAATTACACATCTATCTAGACACTAGCCACAATTCTATGGTAAAGTCCGCGCATTGTAACGCAAAGCTGCATTACAGCAAGTAAATCCAATAATGACTAGAGCAGTTTGGATGAAACGACAGAAAGCCACAATTATGAATGCGCCTTTACGTATGCCATTGGTGGAAATAATTTCAATTGACGAAAATAATTAATTAATAATTCTGGATTAATTGGCATCGAAGGTCGAGTCCTTTTGAAAATGACAGACTGGCAATCTGAAAAAAAATAATATATGTTAATGAGAAATAAAAAAATTATTTTTTTATCAATATAACATCCAGTCAAGTGGAGCTTATAATAATAATAAGTACAGGGTGTCCTAGAATTTGTTTCTCTCTTTCGCCTCTACTTTGGTTTCCTCCATTCTTTCTTTCTGTTATTTCGTGTATTCTCGTCTGAAGGTATTGACCGGTGGCCCTCTTGGCACAGCTCGGTACCAAGGCCCCCTAAAGGCGCACCCGTATATGGCTATCCGTGGCTGGCACCGACTATCGAACAAACTGACCAGTAGTCACGATATCCGTGGTTCAACCCTTGGGGGTTGGTATCCTGGCAGCCCTGTACCCTCCTCCACCTGTTAGGCCTTTTCCTGATTGTGCTTCCTGACACAGGTGCAAAACGCGGTGACCGTGCCGGTTTGTGGCTGAGGTCGAAGGTCAGGGCCTATAAAGTTAATCAATCAAAGTACTCGTGCATATATCCGTGCGGTATAGTAAAGGAGATTGGGTAGAAATAATTTTGGAAAAATTTCGGTAAAGTATGAGAAAGAATGAAATTTTGAATTTTTCAAAAAAGGAGTTTTGAACAAAGCTCAAGACGCAGTATGGGTTAATATGGAAGAAGCTGTATTAGGAGAGTGGCTGGAGTGGTCGGATGGTAGATGCAATGCCGAGGGAACGACAGTTGCGCAAAAGGGGCGAGTTGTGCTAAGCGAGGGGTGTCTAAGGGATGAAATGAAGGAAAAAAAAGGGTTCGTAAAAAATGATCGGGCAGGATCTAAGATATAAAAAAGATTTGTCCCCCAGCACTAGGATCCCGTATCCTTTCCTTCTTCCAGGGGTGTGCATGGGGAGGGGGTTTTTGCAGCTGGTAACCCCCCGAATTTCGAGACGAAAAGGATTCGGGTACCCATTCTTCGTCCTGGACGAATAAACTCGAAAGGACCTGCGTCCATGCGAGATGCTTCTGACCTGCTCTCAATTTACGTTCCGTCAGGGCTGGAGGAGAAGGGGAGAACTTTCCTTAGGGCCCATGGGACCATTTTCAAAAATCTCTTCTGCCCTTTCCTCTCGTGACCTTACGGCGTTTCCTTTATTTTCGGATTTACTCAAAATCGTCCAAGATCCTGTGACCCTTTGGATCGGAGTCGGTGGTGAATTTTTTTATTCTTATGAAATCACAACCGGACTCGATTTTGAAATCTGGAATAAAAATTTGGAAAATTAACTATCATGGCTTTTTTTTTTAAATTCGATTATACTTCCAGGTGGAATCAGTCACTAGGAAAGTAGTGTCCAAAATTGTCCTACCTAAGTAGGTATTTTTGGGTCATCCCTTTCTATTGTGCCCTAAGAAATTTTTTGTCCTCGTCTATTTCGAAAATTCGATCCTACGTCCCACAGGACAAGAGTTCCATGTTCATTCGGGACAAAGTACTATTCCTCCTACAGGATTATGTCACATGGTCTAGCACTCCGCGAAGAAGAATCAGTCTCGCGTGCAGTTCTGCAAAATAGAAAGGAGGGTAAATTGTCCAAAAAATTTTTGTCAATACCAGATCAATTTCTTTTTGTATAGATATCCGATTGGATTACAAAAGCCTTCGGAAGGTCGAAATACTTAATAGATTACATGAGAGTAAAAAAAATGACTAACAATAAAAAAAAAATATTATTCGCATAATGCCAAAAAAATATCCGCCTATATTTTAATATTTTTTGTCCATTCATTTTTCAAAAAACATAAACCGTCACGTCTGTACTTTAAGTATGCTATTTCATTTGTACATAAAAAAAAAAGGTAATGCCGTTCATATAAGTTCGCGTACCTACAGGAACAGGTAGTTTGCTTATATACCGATGCATAAAACCGAACAAGTAGACGGCGACGCTCGCGTCGCGACGCAGCCGACGTAATAAATTTAATTCCGAAATCCCCGAGCGATTTCGTCATCCAGAAATTTTTCGCCCGTGGTCACGCAAGAAGACGATGCTCCACGAAGGCAAACAATTGTACAAACAGGGCCGTATTTCATGATAACACATGTACAAACAGCCTTACGTAAAGCTGGCAATTATGATAAAACTGGACGAAGAAAAAAAAAATATGTGCGACGTTACCTCGATTCGTCTCCGGTAAAACCCGGCTGTCTTTGGGCACGTGTTTTTTGGGTCACAGTAAGCGGGAGTGTCGGCCATTCTTTTTTTCTCTTTTATTTTTCAAATCGCATCGTCTCTTAATTCCCCAACAGGGTACAGGGCGCCGGCCGTCATAATTGAAATTAAAAGTAAGAAAAAATATGAGAAACATATTTTTTTCGTTAAAAGCGTTAAAGAAAAGCTGGATGTTGCATTTAATGAAAATTCAAGGAAATCTTACTCACCGTGTAAACTAACCCACGTCATTGATAAGGAACATTCCTTTTTATTCTGTAACAACCAGCAGACGCCATTGGACGATAGTCGTACCTGAGATAGTACAGTAATTATACGTTAGTTTAAACAGTTGATTTTGCATCGTAAAGATTACATAGAAAACATTATTCAATTGCCAAAAAATTTGTTTAACGAGTTACGTGTATATACTTGGGCGTATACCGCGTTGCGTATTCAGGGGGCATTGCTAGATGCAAAATATCAATATACCCAGTAACAAAAATGTCAAAGCAACGTAAATTAATTGACTGAACATTAAATAGTCACAGATACGAGTATACCAGTGGGAATGATAAATCTTAATTTTAATATAAACACAATGTATTAGATAAACATACAACCAGTCACAGACGAAGGTGTCGCTAGGCACAGGAGTATCCAAACGTAAAGAGATAGACAGATAATAACAGTCTAATAGGAATGAGGATAGGTGTTGAATAAGGAAGCGGAGAAAAGAAAAACTTTTCGACCAAGTTTCCGGCGCAAGGGAAAGTCCGTATAAAGTAGTAAGCAGGGAAAGTGAGGCCGAGATAGGCAGTACGATTTAAAGGGCCGTAGAAACAGAAAGTGTCGCCATCTAGCGGGAAACCCGTGAACTCTCTCGTGGTCAGGCTCTGCCAGCTAGATGGAGCATGCGCCGGATCTTAGGTATCTGCCGTATCGATCGGGTCTCGATGGGTTGGTAACGTTAAAGGGATGGAAAAGGACCACGAGTGCTAGGAGGGTTGTATAAGGTTAGGGGAGGGAACGCACGTGTGTGAATTGGTCTCTGTGTTGGGTCCTGTGGCTAGGCAACCCAACTTACATGAGATTACGCGGAGCCAATAGCGAAGCAGGAGAGCCCGTCAAAGGCATATCTCAATGTGTGGCATGAGCCGAGTCTCTAAAAGGGGATTAGAGCTCCTCGTATTCCAGAATACCTTTCTATGTACGAGTACACGGTAGATATACGTACCAAAGGCGGATATACATATACACGTAAGAAATCCTTTCGCGGGGAATGGTTTCTGGAAAGCAGGATCAAAGGTGAAGGAGAGAAGAAAATAAATTAAATATAAAGAAAAAAATAGGAAAACGGGCTCTCAGAGGATTACGGGGTATAAATGTTTATTGATAAACGGAAGGATTTAGTGGCGGTTAAATCATACAATTTTTGAAAAAAGGTAAATACAATTTTTTTTTCAATACACCATTGTTCGGATACAATTTTTTAAAAGACATCTATCCTCCAACCAAAATTATTAATGAGGGATGTTGCGATCTTGGAACGAGTAAAAGTACGGAATACACGATACACATTTTTTTTCGATTTCAACAAAAAAAGTTTCTGACGTAAAATCAGTTTGGGACGAAGTGAAGAACTTAAAAAAATAAACGTGCATAGTTTTAATCGAAGTTAGGACTTTCTAGCGTTACGTTACTCTTGCGATTTGTGTTTATATACGTTTATATGCGTCTCGGCCATGAAATAATAAAAAGGGGTAGAAAGTGAACCTGATAATTCCTATGAATTTCGAGAGGAACTCTCTCTCCCTCTCTCCCTCTCTCTCTCTCTCTTTCTCCCTCGTGGAAGAACCATAAATCGTCAGTTCACTTTCTACACTTTTCACCTAGTTGGCGGTTTGCCAGAGCACATTGAGGAGGGGTTGGTGGGTGGCGGCGAGAGGGGAGGGTAGAGTGCAGGAAAAGTATGAGAAACATAGAGAGAGAGAGAGAGAGAGAGAGAGAGAGGAAGAACCGAGAAAGACGAAAGGGGGGAAATGGGGGATGAATAGAAAAAAAAATTCCCGAGAAACTTTGCAGGGTGCGAAATCTTCCCCTTTAAGATAAAAAGGTTTCCGGGATCGTTTTTCCTGGGTAAGGTCTCAAAATCAAGAGACCGTCGTTCCTCCTTACTTCCTTCCAGCATTCAGCGTCCACCCGGTATAGTCCACGACTGTACGATCGGTGCCCTTTCAAAGTTCCTCGAGCTGCGACAAATCCAAGAGGAAACGAGCTGAACTCCTTCGCGAGCGGAAACGTTACGGCGACGCTGCACCGCTTGAGCTCGAACCTATGCTCGACTTCCGGTAAACAAGCAGTAATTTATTTTACGATCCTGAGCTATTCGCTTCCGGTGATATGGCGAAATGAAAATAGCGCTTTAAAGAAAAGGGGGTAGGTGGTACACACGCCGACCAAGTAATTTCGTAATTTTTCAAATTTTTCAAAAACTTACCAAGGGGCAGTTTTTTGTACGATAACATTCCGACGATCACCAATGAATCTGTGATAGTGGATTTTTGAATGATAAAAAAATGGTCGCGTGACGTCAGAAACGGCCAGTCAATGTCCAGCAAAGGGTAGCTGCGCGAAACTCACTGTTCGGAGGTCAAGCCGGAATCCGATTGGCTGGTCTGGTCGGTTGGGGCGGGTTCTAAGCCGGTTTAGGGGTAGTTTTGCGCCTGGAACTACCCACTTGGCTATATCCTGACCGCGCGGGGTGAAACAAGACGGGGTCGGTCACGTCGTGACCCAGGGTCAGGTGGTAAAAAGACGTGGATTAATTTTGGTCGTGGTCGTCGCGTGCTATTTTGAAAAAAAGGAGGGGGGCTTCAGGCTCGTCATCGGCCAAGGGTTGAAATATAATTTATTATTCCAGCTCCTCTCGAGGCGCCTCCTGAATTCTCGATCGTTTTCTAGGGGTTGTAAAGGGAGACCACCCTTATTCCACCCGCGAATGGCCGAGCCTTCCTAGCCGCCAAACAATCGATATATGCGTTCAAAATGGCCGCCGGGACGCCACCCACCCCTGACGACCCTCTCATGTATGCCCCCCCTCCCCCCTCCGCCCCCCCAAGCTCTTTAACTTCGGAGCTCCGGCTATACTAGCTGTCGACCTGCCTACGCCCGATATTTTCCTCCGAGGGGTAGATAGGGAGGATCTTTCGCAGTCGGGAAAATTTTCTCGATTTCACCTGCTTCCCTTATTTTTGTCCTTTCGCCCTTATTTTCTCCCCTCCCCCCGAATTTTTTCTTTTTTTTTTTCGTGCCACCCCTCACGTCCCTCACGCACCTCACCGGCCCTTTGGCTTTCACTTTCGTGACGACGATGTCCACGAGGAGACAGTGTATTGTGGGGGGTGAAGAGAAAAGGAGGAAAAAGGGGCGTAGGAGAGGAAAAGATACCAATCTCACCATAGAGATCACTCGCATTTTTGAATTTAACGATGTCGCCATAATTCCTGGTTGCTACTGACACCGAATTCGTCGTAACTTCTATTCGCCAAATTTTAATATATTTTTGTGAATTGTAAAAAAAAGATTTTTTATTACGTCACAAGGATGATAATTGCCATTCGAAGAAGTGGGAGAGTACGCGTTAGAAAATAAAAAAAAAAAAAAAAAAAAAAAAAAAAAAAAAAAAAAAAAAAAAAAAAAAAAAAAAAAAAAAAAAGAAAATTATCCAAAAAATCTCTGAACAGATACGATTTCGATAAATAGTAAAAAAAAATTTTTTTTCAAAATTCCAAAATTATTCGATCGTTCAAAAAATAAACGCGGTACCAAATTATTGCTGCGGGATGAGTGACCCGATGAAAAAAAAAACAAAAGAACTTCACAGCCGAAGTAAACTGCGAAAGAGATAACGCGAGGTCGGCCCATGAATGATTGGTGTCAATAAAACGAAAGAAAAAAAAAAGTTGAAGCCAGACGTCGGTTTCTCGAAGGGTTTATTAAAATATAATCGGTGTTATCAGCCTGGCGAAGGGAGAGGCGCGTCAGCTTTAAGAGGGAAGTTTTCTTAAGTGTTCTTAATTAGAAGGAACCTGTTGCTTCGGAAAAAAAACCGGGTCACGGTCGTGCCCCCGTCGCGGAACGACGCCTCCTCCCGGCCGTATCCAGACGCCCGACGTCGCCCTCTCCCCCCACCGGGCGTCTCACCGCACTCACCCACCTTCAGACCTCTCGCAAGAGTCATTATTTTCTTCTTCCTGTTACCCGCCGCGGCTCCGTGCAAATATCCAGCAGGTTCGTATAGTTTCGCGCGAAAGAGTCAACGTGCGCCGATTCCGCCGTATGAATGAAAAATACCAGGTAGGAGAGCAGAGGTAAGAAATAGGTTAACGAAGACGACGAGAGTGTAACGGGTGACGGGAAAAAAAATTTCAAAAAAATTTTTTTTTTTTACTACGCAACACATTTTTTGCATTTCACATCAAAAGCGTCGGTAGTCGAATGACAAATTGTGCGAAGGATTCGAAAAAGTGGCAGCTGCGAAATCTGTTTTTCGATTCGTAAAAAAAAAGAAAAAGACAAAAAATGAAGGGATGGGCCGAAAATTGGTAGCGTGGAGAAAATGCAAATTTTTTTTTTCCTCCCTAAGCTCCGTGAACCACGCACACCCCGCCTAGACTCTTACCCCATGCCCGATAAGCCCTGAGCTATTTTGAACGGGTGCTTCTTTTTTGTATTGCACCTTCCGAAATATCTGTGTATGTCGCGCATAGTTTTCTGCATGCTGGGTATGTGCGGCCGAGAGTCCGGAAGAAGGGTTGGCGGATAGAGGGTTAAGGGAGAAATAACGTGAGCGAGGAGCGTAAGGGAGGAAGGTTGAGACCTACGTCAAATAAATTTGAATATCGATGCCCATTGAATCCGATCGAAGGGTCGGCCGAGTTTCTCTTTTCATTTCCTGAAAGGGTTGCAATTTGAATATTCGCTGGGGTAACTAGGTATCTTGGGGGTTCCCGGCTGTTTCACTCTCTCTCTCTTTCTTTTTTATTTGTATACTTCGCGAG